TATAGGTTTAGGTTCTATGGAAAACAAAAAACCCTAAAAAAAACATTAAAATGGTATGTTTGTGCTTCAGTTTCCTATATTATATGTGCTGAGTGCTGTCATTTAGTCAAATAGTATTTTACGTTATCTATCCAGCCACTTGAATGGTATGTTTGTAATTCAACTGAGTTGATTATCCCTTCTTATTTCGTTCATTTCACTTGCAGGAAGTGTTTAGATGAATGCAAAAGACATGCTATGCTATATACAGTTACTAAAGTCTAAAAGTATAAATAATTGCTCAACTGTATTATGAGCAGCATTATGATATCAGTGTGATGCTAATAATGAATGAAATGAATGTATGGTGTTTTACTTTTGTGTTAAGTTCCCCTCTACTCAACTTCATTTTGTAAAGTGCTATGGGTAAACTTGGGGGAGGTTGAATGATAATGCTTCCACAACAAAGAATCACTCACTTACACCTGGTTGTTTAAACCAAAGAACAAGAGGCTCTTGTATTGTTATTGAGACAAAAATTGCAACTTTTCTGTTCCCCACCAAAAGATGAGACATATCATTGTCTGCAAAATACATGAATCTGCAGAATACTCCACAATAAATTTCAAGTTCTTAACACCACAATAAATTCTTTCAAACCATGTGACTCCGACCACAACAAAAAATAGTATCAACCACGACAAAATACTAACTCCTTTAGAATAATCAAGCATATTTCATATGTCGAAGTAAGTTTTGTTAGACCCCGAGGATGTACACCCCCACCTCACTCGACCATGGGTTGACATGGCCTACGGTGACCATGGTAACCCCGACCCAACCCCAAAATTCACCTCATGGTATAAATTCACCTCTCTCATCTCTTTCCCTCTTTAACAACTATTTTTTAAAAGACGAATGATCCCTATGGTGTGGGGTAATTTGCATGTTTGGTCCCTAATTAAACTGTTTATTTTTGTTGCGTATTTAGTCTCTGTCTTACCTAAAAAGACTATTTTGCCTTTGATTTTTTAATTTATTTAAATAAACACAACACAGCCCCACTTCAACATCATCTTACCTTACTTTACCTATCTCACTTTATTTAAATAAATTAAAAAATCAAGGACAAAATAGTCTTTTTAGGGAAGACAGGGACCACGCGAGCAACAAAAACAAACTGCAGGGATCTTTCGAGTTAAAAAAGTAAGTTATGGATAAACGTGCAAATTATCCCAAAACATGGGGACCATTCGTGTAATTTACTCTTTAAAATAAATGTACCCATCATTCTTACTACCAAGGTCTACGAGTGACTATAAAAAACGTCAAAACCGGAGTTCGTATGAACGAGTTATAATTTATAATAACATATTTACGTATTAAAATAAAGTATAAATCATATATACGTATACATATATATACATATGTATATATCATTGGAAAGGTATCGACGATGCGGTCGTTATAAGACTACTGTTGAGCACTTTCGATATTAATTTAGTACAAATATCGTTAAATCTATTTAAAATAGTAGTATAAAGGGGTGTTTAGTCGTTTAAATAACTATAAGGTCATTTAAGTAACAATAGAAGGTCGTTTTTGAAAATATAATTACTATAAATAAGAGGCTCTAGGCTCTCATATCTCTTGCATAATTCTCTTGATTCAAGAGTTTTTCTCTTCTTATCCCCGAGCATTACGGTCCCGTGTGATTCAACTTCTCTTTCTGTAGTTTTAGTATAGTAAGGTGAGCGCTGAAGCGCTAGAATAATCTTTTTAGAAAGATTCAACGACGAAGTTCTGCTCACGTAGAGCCCGGTTTGTTATGTTTACCATATTTTAAGTATAACTTATGTTTAAGTTCATTATCGTTATTATGAACCTATAAACAAGATTTATCAGTGATTCAAAGTCGTTATACTGATTGATATACTTACGGGAGATGTGTCTAGAATGGTCACGTTGGCTTGGTTGTTGGATTTCAGAAAAGCTATATGCCTAAATGGTCCTGCGTGGCTGATCCTTACTTGATAGATCTTGAAGTAGACTTTGAGTTGATGATGAATCTAGACTAATAATTAGTCGCAATAAATATTAGACTAAAACTTAGCAATAATAATACTACGTTACGTCAAAGGAAAAGACAGTTGCTAGAAGCGAAGCGCTGCCCAAAATTTGAATCGTCACTTTAACGAGTGAGTGCATAGTTACTTTCATTTTACACATAGATATGAAATATTTAATATTAATACATGCTATATGTGCTTATTATATGTGTTCCTGATATCTATGCTAGATGAACGATTTATACATGTTTTACGTGATTTAAACTGTATATGTATTTTTATACCTATAAATATATTGGGTAAAGATGGGTAGATGAATGATGAGAGATGAAAGATGATATAGATGATGAGAGATGAAATATGATGAGAAGCCTTGACTTTAAAGCTGATCCAAACATCTATCAGAGTATAGATGACGACCACAGACTATTCTAGACAGTTCAGTGGAACGCTAGCAGACTCGCAACTTGTAGGTGTTTGTTAACGACGTGTTCACCAGATGTACTCTAAAATAACCCTGGCAGCTATGGACTTAGTGCTTTACAAATGAACATAGGCAACTATGGACTTAGTGCCTTACAAATGAACAT